GACATTCACATACATCACCAAAAACCCTTTAGCCCATGAGCCCTAAAATTCAAATACTAATTGAGTTTTTGCATCTTTTACTAAGGAAATTAGTCAGGACAGAAAAAGCGTCTAAGTGCAAGTTGCCTTTGCTGGTTTTTTTTTCCAATCTCTAGCCACGACATTCCAGTCTTGAAAAGAACCTCCAAATCTGATAAAAAAAACTAGGAGATTAAAAAAAACACTTTTGTGCATAACTCTTATTTGAGAACGTTCCGAATTTAACAGATACATTAGTGAACCAGCTCGCACAAATTCTCCTGGGATCGCTCGGCTTGTTGGCATGCAAACTTGGCTCCAACCGAATAAGATTTCCGCAAAAAAGTCTCTTTCATGTCAAGCTCAAGTTCTGGGAATCAAAAACAACAATCCATTTGCCCACGGTCAGAAAGGTAAGGTTTCCATGCGTACCTAGCATTGTACAGTACATAGCTGTTGTTCTTTATTACATGCTTGGGTACTCTTGGCAAACTGGATACTTTCTTCCAGTTCCATTCTTCACCACCTTTCCTGTCCAAGACTAAAACCACAAGTGATAATGATCTGAGTAAGAGAGAAAACAGGGTACATGGTCATGGCCGTGGCCAAATTTAAACAGGTCATAATATCACAGAATCTATCATAATAATGACTTTGACTAGGACTAACACTCCCACTCTGGCGCAGTAACTCAGACTCCCTCTGTCTCTCATGCGCGAGTACGCAATAGCTGCGCCAGCACCTCACGACCGCTCCTGTTTCTCCTGCAACTGTAAACGGTTGCAATTGAGAGCAAACTTATCCTTGGACGAGACTTGGTCAGCATATCAGCAAGCTGCTCGGTGGTCGAGCAAAATTGGAGGACAATAATGCCCTGCTGGACCTGCTCTCGGACATAGTGATAACGGAGTTGAATGTGCTTTGTCATGGAACTTTGATGTAGCTGAAAGAGCAATAGCGCTAATGTTGTCACAAAATAGCATCGTGGGCTGAACAAGAAAATGTCCAAGCTCTGTGAGCAATAAGCGAATCCAGACAGCCTCTTTGCGCGCTGAGCACGCAGAAATATATTCGGCTTCAGTAGACGACAGAGCTGTGATGCTCTGTTTCTTGCTCCTCCAAGTCAAAGTTGAGGCACCGAGAATAAAAACGTAGGCGGATGTAGATTTGCGGGTGTCTTTGTCACCAGCCCAATCTGAGTCGTAGTAGCCGCGCAAGTGGAACTGCTCATCTGGGACACGAGAATATGTAAGCGCCAAGGATTTGGTACCTTTCAAGTAACGAAAGATGCGCTTAACCGCTGCCCAGTGAGCTAATCCGGGATTTTCAGAAAATTTCGCCACGACTCCCACTGCATGCGAAAAATCTGGGCGGGTACAAATAACAAGATAAATCAGACTACCAACAGCTGCACGATACGGAATCCTCTTCATGGAATTGCTCTCAGCTTCAGTGGTTGGAGACTGAGTTTTAGAAAACTGAAGATTAAGCTCCATAGGTGTGGAAACTGGAGTACTGTCGTGCATATTAAAGCGTTTGAGAATTTCGTCCACATAGCGCTGCTGAGAAAGATGAATAGTTCCACGGGACCGGTCTCGAATAATATTAAGACCAAGACAAAACTTAATATCTCCAAGATCGTCCATCTCAAATTGAGAAGAGAGCTGCTCTTTGATCTTATGTAGAAAAGAAAGACAATTTGCTAGTAAGATGACCATCATCTTTTCAACATGTTTCTGGTACACGTTCTGATCAGCAGCATTTCTTGAAAACCAATAGAAATGAGAAATTTGTCCATTTTGTCGAACCAAGCTTTAGGAGACTGTTTAAGACCATATAAAGCTTTCTTGAGGCGACAAACCATCCCGGGCTGCTTCTGATAACCCTCTGGTTGCTGGATGAAAATTTCTTCAGTAAGATCTCCGTGCAAAAATGCTGTACGAACGTCCATTTGATGCACCTCGAGATCATATTGAGCTGCTAAAGCTAGCAAAACTCGAATAGAGGCCAGCACAGGTACGTAAGTCTCGGTAAAATCAAGGCCTGCGATTTGTGTAAATCCACGAGCCACATACCTCGCTTTAAACCGAACGACGTGATTGGCTGCATTCCTCTTAACTCGAAATAGCGGCAGTCAGCTGGCTTTGAAACGAGCGTCCAGGTGTCGTTCTTTTGAAGCGAGAGATACTCAGAATCCATAGCAGCTCCGCACTCCACAGCATGAGGACCTGTGAGCGCTTCAGTCACCGTTCTTGGCCCAGGAACATCGTTAGAACCAGCAAAATAAAAACGACTTGACCGCGACCTGAAAAAGTGTTGACTCTCGGCAGCATCCTGAGCTCGTTGAGATGGAAAAAGTGGCCGGCCAGAACGAGAATAGCCGACAGGGTCACTCTGAGAACGAGGCCGCTCAACTTCTGGGACGAGATCTAGCTCTGGTGACTCAGGTGGCGGTAAGGGTGGGGTTGATGTTTGCTCCGGTGGAAGCGACTGCAGATGAAGAGGCGGTGGAGGATTGAGTGGTGGTGGAGGAGGTTGTTGAGCTGCTGGTGGAGCTCCACTGAAGCTGGAAGCACCGGAACTTCTTCCACAAGTCGCCAAGTTGAAGGAGTTGGAGTGGAAAGATATGGATTTACATGGAAAGATATCTTCAAAAACCTTCACATCACGTGCTGGAAAAACTGCCAGTCGCAAGCTTCGGCAATCGAGCAAGGTTCAACCGAATACTCGAAAGTGTGCAACGGATGGCTTCTTTCCAGTCCATAATTCTTCTGGAGTGATATTAGAAAGAGTAGATGTTGGAAGACGATTGTGAAGATAAGGAGCGGTAACAACAGCCTCTCCCCAAAAAGATTCTGGACAACCAGCGCCAAGGAATATTGCATGAGTAGACTCGACCAACGTGCGGTTCATGCGTTCTGCTGCTCCATTCTGCTGTGGCGTCCCTGGAACGGTGAATTGCTGAACAATTCCACAATAGTTTTGAAATTTCTTGGAAACATACTCATTATCAGACCTCAGGATTTTGACGGATTTGCCAGTCTGCTTCTCTTCTCGAGACCGAAAATCCACGAAGAGGGAAAACACTTCACTTTTACAAGACATAACTCTCACTTCCACTCGCCTGGAATAATGGTCTATAAATGTGACAAAATCAAGAGAAGCAATTGGCATAGAACCAACATCAGAGTGAACTAGTCCAAGGAGATCAGCTGCTCGTTCATGAGAATTCTTTGGAAATGGAGCTGCAACAAGCTGCTACTTAATAAGCTTCTCAGCGTCAATGCCAGAGTTGCATCTTAGATTCCTTGGCCATAAATATACGAAGAGGAGGCACTAAAATAGCATCAAGCTTGTAAATATCAGCATACCTGCTACCGTGCATTACCCTCGACCCCATCAAGAGAAAAAACAATGCCTCGTTGATCTCCAGAAAATTGACTAATAATCAGACTCAGAGTGAGAGTCTTAGGCTTCTGCCACGTGGCCCGGCCATGACCATGTCCATTTCTCTCTTGTTAGCGTCTCCTCATATCATTATCATGGTATCAGATTGTAGATCCAATGGTTCACCATGCTAGGAGAGACCTGCCCTTTCTGATCAACAACCGCTGTACAGCAGAACATGGCGAGCTGCCAGAGCAGCATTTAATCCTTTTGTACAAGGGAGATTTTGCAAATTGGGCTGCCCTCCTAAAGGTCGTTTTCTTGTGTGATAATTGCGATGGGATTGTCGCAGGCAAAGAACCTGAACTAGCCCAAGGTGCTCCTGAATTAGTAGACTGGAAGCTGCGCAACAAGCAAGCCCTATCTACAATAGGCAAGCAGTACATTCGTCTTCTTGATCTTGATAACAATGCTCCCATAAATTGGACCAATCTAACCCAGTTTCTTGGTGCTCAAATGGTTGAACATGTGGTCATGTTGAAGGGTGAGTTCTTCACTTTAAAGATGGATCCCTAATTGCCTGTCAAGAAGTTTATCAACAACATTCTCTACTATGAGTAGCACCTTCAAGATGCAAATTAGCCTTTGACAAATGTGGACAAGCAAGCAGCCCTGATCAATGGCATTCTTGATATCGTCTTCGCACAACGTTTCAGAATCTTCAAGGCCAGCTCACTTCTGGATTTAGTCTTGGTCTTCAATTTCTGCTGTTGGCATTCTTCTTCCTTGAGAGATGAGCACATTGCTTCAAAAGTGAGTTGGCCTTGAAGATTCTGAAATGTTGTGTGAAGACTCTCATACTCAATATCAAGAATGTCATTGATCAGGGCTGCTCGCTTGTCCACATTAGTCAGAGGCTGCAAAGGTGCTTCTCATAGTAGAGAATGTTGTTGATAAACTTCTTGACAGGCAATTGGGGATCCATCTTTAAAGTGAAGAACTTGCCCTTCAACATGACCACATATTCAACCATTTCAGCACCAAGAAATTGGGTTAGATTGGTCCAATTTATGGGAGCATTTATTCAGATTAAGACGACGAATGTATTGCTCACCTATACCCCTACCCATTGAAGATAGGGCTTGCTTGTTGCGCACCTTCTACTCTGCTAGTTCAGGAACACCTTCGGGGCCGTTCCGGTTCTTTGCCT